TGGGAAGAAATGTAAAGTCGTGTTACAGAATCGTGGTATAAAGCGTAAGGAGCGTGGCAGTTGGTAAACAGAAGTCATTGCCTTAGAAACAAATTAGTAAAAATATGTAGGCGCCTTTGATAAAATTGTGACAGTAAAATCACCATTACTGAAGAAAATATGAAGATTATTGTAGCAAAGAACATGACGGGCATGCCCAATAACTTTGATGTACAAAACTCTTTTAAAACTAGTCATATTAAAATTGGAGTTTCTTGATAACTAACACGTGTTTCGATTTTTAAATCGATTAAAAAGAAACGTGGGAGGCCAGATAAAAATCCTTTTTTGCAAAAACAAATCAGTTGCAAGAGTATTTGGTAAGTTGGACAGGAAAAACAAACTCAACGCTGTCAGTCAAAATACAAGAATTTCAGTTAAGATTTAAGCTAGTTATTAAAAATTATACAACTTGGAACAAGAACTAGGCCAGTAACCAGAGATATGATTTCTAGAGCTACAATATGTTTACTACAAATCTAACACCACACTATTAGGACTAAAGCTATCTCTGGAGTTACAGAAATTACAATACCTCATCAGGTTTCCCGTACACAGAAAAAATTGACAGATGACAGTAGAAAACTATTTTAGGAAGTTTGTTATCCCTACTTTAATAGTTGTATCGCTGTACGTAGTTATAGCAACAACAAATAGTTGTGCCTTTGTACGTAGTTATAGCAATAACAAATAGTTGTACCTTTGTACGTAGTTATAGCAATAACAAATAGTTGTAACTTTGTACGTAGTTATAGCAACAACAAATAGTTGTACCTTTGTACGTAGTTATAGCAATAACAAATAGTTGTACCTTTGTACGTAGTTATAGCATTAACAAATAGTTGTATCGCTGTACGTAGTTATAGCGATAACACATAGTTGTTTCAGTATATTATAATTTTTATGTTGTTGTTCCTAAGTTTCACATCATTTCTGAAAGCATTGAAATTAACTTACATCACAACATACTCTTACATCACAAATACTTGACACTTTAGAACTAAAGGGTCAGTAAGTTATAAAATTTTCAAACCTCACTGACTCCTTAAGTTTCTTTGTACCTATATACTTCACACATGACATAACTTTTTCTCACACCCAGCGTCACTCAGTGGTATACCATTTGCTCCACTGAAACTTCGAACCCTCAACAAAGTACCGTCTCGCGGTGCAACCGCGGCAAGTCTATGGACTTACAACGCTAAAATCAAGGGTTCTATTCCTCTCGGTGGAGACAGCAGATAGACCGAAGTGGCTTTGCTATCTCGTGATATCCTGTATCTTATAACATAGTACCGTTGTAACAATACCAGAAGTCGAAACATGTGTTTTATACGTAGTTTCTACTCGTTTGAAAGGTTTAGAACTAGCTCTCCAGAATTATATCACATATTGATTGATTTATATTTAAAGCTAACAATGTTAAAAAATATCTGTAAAATTACGGCTACACTGCCGCAATTTTACTGAATTTACATAGTATATATATATAATCCAAAATATAAAGTATAATCTCGATATATAAAAACGTGTCATAACAAAAATGTATTAATTATTAAATTATATTATCTAAATACAGATATTGAATACGTTATATTAGAATAATTTCGGTGTCTCTCAAAGTCGTTACAGTTAACGTCGCTACGTCTGATCATGCTCTGTCTGACATTCATGCATCTTGACAATGAATCTGCAGCGTAGTTTCAATTTCAACAGGCTTTGTTGTAAGACTGTTTTGTCTTAAGCACACCCCTCTTCCCTACAGTCTTTCCATAAGCCATCTAGTGTACGAGGACGAATGTTTCTCATCGCATAGAAATCCGACTACTTGATTAGTATATCTTCTTATGAGATAGCATGAATACCGGTTTCATTCTCCAGCTGCATGAGATATGCGAAAGCTGAACAGATTGTCGTGACAGAAACTTATATCACTTTTCTAGATGGAGATCCCTTTGAGTATGTTGCATACTGTTTTCCGGATTCGTGAACTGGTTTTGCTACGGACCTTCATATTACTGAATCATCTGTTGCAAGACAGCGCACTTTGCTTACCACGGCTGAGAAACGACTTCTTGCAATTCTATTTCTGTGTGGTCCTGAGTCCTCAAGTTGATCCATCTTCCTCTTTTTTTTCGAATGCCATTAAGTACAAGGGACATTCCAGTTTTGGAAATTCTAAATCCCTTTGAACACATCTGTATGATATGAATGTATGAATATTTTGCGTCGGAAATGCTTGTTACATACTCTTTCCAAAAGATATCAATTTTCAGTGGCATAATACGACTTACGACCCCCAAAAATATAGTAATGATACACTCCTTTCCACCACGATCTTATATGGACCGCCGTGGTTGTTGAATAATTAGTTGATTTCAGTGTAACACACTCACTCCTTTGTACTACAATGATTCTGGTAGTTAATATGATTATTCAAAGGTACTGCACATGGGACTTAATCACCATAGCTACATAAAGATATTACTCTGATGCATAACCTTTTGAAACAAAATGTCTACCCAACAAACATTCTAAGTAATATCACACGTAAGTTCTTTAACAACAAATTAAAACCTCATAACAAACAAATCATTGTTCCAACATTTCCTGTCATTGTCTGTTTACCTTTTATGGGTTCTTAAATATTATAAATTAAAAGACAAATCTCTATTCTGATAAAAATTGCGACCCCCCCAGATTCAACTGAGATTAATCTCTGCACTTAGCTTCTGGATTAGAAATATATTTTACTATAAGGATCAGCTACTTACAATCCTTAGACCATGACTCATATAACACGTGTAGAAGTTGTAAGGTCGCATACGTTATGAAAACTAAACGTCATTCGAAAATTACAGTATACGAACACTTAATACCATAAAGTAGAACTGGCCTTTACAAAGTAAACTTTCTCAGTCAACAGTTCGACCACATGTAAAAACAACAGGTAATATCAGTTAACAACTTTACTGTCATTTCATTTGAGTCTAAAGACTTCTCATAAGAAAAGGCTTGCCATTATGAAAAAACCACCCTGATCTAAACCTACAGACATCCTTCCGAATAAAACTCTTTAAATTATTCTAGTAACGAACAACCATAAATTCTGCCTTACGATTATTCATTTCACAGTAATAGCAGTGTTTTAGTTGTATTCTACACTATATCTGTTTATTCTATTCTAATTCCTTTTCAGACCCGGAATGGCTTGGTGGTTAGGGCGCTCAATTCCCATTCTGCGGGTCGCGTGTTCGAATTCCGTCACCTAAAATGCTCACTCTTTCAGCCGCGGGGACGTTATAACCTAACGATCAATCCCACTCTTCGTCGGTAAAGAGTAGCCCAAGAACTGGCGGTGGATGACGTTTACTAGCTCTAGTCTATCGCTTCTACATAAGGGATTGCTAGCGAGTAGTTTGGAGCGAAATTTAAGAAACAAACAAAGAAAATCATTTTTTCTGAGTTGTTTCTAAACTTCATGTTCTCAGATATCATTCGGAAAGTATTTAATATCTACCTATATATACACATACACACCATGCTGTCAGATTTCGCTGATGGTGAATAACTGTTATAAAACACTTAACATGTCAATAAAATACTATAAAATTAATTAAAAAAAACATCTGAAACGTGTTACAACATATGTTTAAAAAACAGAACACCGACCTTAATATCCTAATATTTCTATTTCGTTAAGCTCTGAGGAATTTTACACACATAAAAATACCACAAGATATATATTCACCACAGCAAAAACTTCAACTTTTTTTAACAGACCTATTGTGCTCTGCACTTCAATATAGCACTTTAAGTTCCCCCAAATAAGTACGCCCTAGACAGCCGCCTATGTGGCCTATCCTTAAGGCACAGCCTGAAAAAGTAACAGGTTCAAACCTGCAGCTGAACAAACCCAAAGTTCTAGGAGTGAGTTTAACAACTTACATCAAAATAAATGAAGGCTGGGAACAAATTACTGTCACAGTTGAGACATACACTTAGGAATAAGATGTAGCTCTGTTTACAAAAAGGAGAATAGTCCTGTATTAAGTTGCTACTGTTCTAAAACAAATAATCTCTTTTTGATACCTGTTTCCCGATGGTTCAGTAGTAAGCTTGGGGGCTTGTAACGCTACAATTCAAGTTTCGATCCCCACAGCGGACGTAGTGGGCATAGCCGACTGTGGGACTTTGCTCTTAAACTTATTTGATTGTTTGTTTTAGGGCAACGCCACATTGAGCTATCTGCTGTGCCTACCGCAAGAATCGAACCTCGGATTTTAGCGTTTTAACGCCATAGACTTACCGCTGTCCCACCGGGGGCTATTGCTTTCAATCAAACACACCAACAAATCCAACCTTTTTAATGCCTAAGAAACAGTAGAATTTCAGCCCATTGCTGTGTTATACACAGAAAGATAATTTTGCACGCGCCATGAACTTTTAATAAATCACTAACTTACATTCTTCCACATATTTGTTAGTGATCTGTGAATCTCAAAATTCAACAAATTAATATTTTTTTTTCAAAAGAAAGAAGATGAGTTATAAATTAAATCATTCAGTTATTATTAGTGGTTATAGTATGTTAACTAACACTGTACGTGCGTAAAGCGTATCCAATAATTCAAAATATTTGCCCAATTCTCTCTTAACTTATTTATTATCTAATGAATACTAGAAAAGAAATTTACGATTTAGACATTTCTAAGTTGCTGTGATCCCAATAATCTGTTGAAAGAGAAGGAATTTCATTAACGAAACACATTAACTGTTTTTTCTCTTGAAGCACAAACTGTATCCACATACTGATAAGTTGTTGATACCGATTATAGGTTAATTCATTCATTTAGGCTATTATTCGATAACGTGATACTTTGTTGATACTTAGAAGGTGGTATAGGCTCGATTTACTTGACTTTTAACGATTCATTTTCGGTGTCGTTTCTTCACTTCAGCTGGTTAGAAAGGTACATTTGAATGAATGGTATACTGTGAGAATGGCCTTTAATTCATCTTAAGTCAAGGCGGAACTGTTCAGTATTCCAGTGCAAGAGCTATATCGATTGTAGTATTTGGTAGCTAACAGAACATTACTATGATGCTTTTAAAACCAAATGAAATATCGTCTAAGTCTACACGTTTTAATGAAATTAGTGTTTATTTGTTGAAGTTCGCGCAAAGCTACTCAAGGGCTATCTGTTCTAATACGCCCCTAGAAAAAGGTAAACTATAGGGAAAGCAGCTAACCAACACCACCCACCGCCAATTCTTAAGCTACTCTCTACTAACGAAAAAATGGGATAGACCGTCACACTAATACACCCCATGGCTCAAAGGGCTTGCATGTTCAGTAACGGGATTCGAATCTGCGAAACGCAAGTTGCAAGTTCAGCTCTAGCCACCAGGCCATATCAGGCCTTAAATTAAAATAAAAAGTAAGCCACATTTAACATTTAAACTTCTATTTATGTAGAGATATTCTATTTAGAATATTGTGTGGTTGAGATTTTGAAATGTAAAATACATTACCACTAGCCATGAACATACAAGTTCTAAACACAAATTAGCATATGTTTGTCCTTCATAAATAATATTACATATCAGTAAAGAAAAAACGTAAATCATAGGGCTAAATCTTGCGTATCTTAACGATAGAATAATTTATCCATGATTATGATAATAAGTGAAATAAGATACAAACCATTTAGATTCGTTAACAGGTAAGGGATGCAAGGGTAATGTCTGCAATGGAGAGGTTTACATACGAGAGTGGTGTAAGGTCTCTGAAATTGTTTTCTTTTGAAAAAAGAAAAGTTTGAGGGGATCTAATTGAGGTATCTAAGATTGTTAAGAGAAATGATAGTGTTGATACGTATTGTATTTAACAGTGAGAATGGTAAGACGGGGGAGCACGAATATACATTTTGGCATCTTTGGCAGCTAAGACAGTTTTATTTTTCTAACTGGTTGACTTGTCTGTTTTTATATTATATGTATGTATACAATTACTCCATTTAGAATTCAAGTAATTGTGATATTGTTTTGGATTATTTTTCATTTGATTTTATTGGAAGCCATCTATTGACTTATAGCGAATATTAAATTTTATGGTGTTGAGGTTTGTTGTTGTTGGCTCAGAACAAAGCCACATTCGGCTCTTTGTTATGTCCACCACGAGGAATCGAACCTCGGATTCTAACGTTGTAAGTCCGTAAACTTACCGCTGTCCCAACGGGTGACTATGGTTTTGAGTGGCAAATCTTTAGTAAGTGACAAAAAAAGAAATAAGCTAAAATAGTCTTGCTCTAAAAAAAAATTATACAAATGCTGCAAATCCTACTTTTCTCAAACATTATTTGTTGAAATCGAATGTAAAACATTATTTACATATATTTAACTCCTGTTACAAACGTATTTCACGACAGCGGGAGTGGTTACCTTGCTTGTTTGAGGATTTATTGCTCGCGTCCCGTTGTCGCAAAAAATTACCATTTCAATGGCCACTTCGCCTTCTTCACATCAATTGTTTGGAGAGATATATTTAACTAACTACCCTCCCTTTAATCTATCAGTTTAAAATTAGGAATGGCTAGTATTTATAGCCCTTTATTATGTTTTGCTCAAATATCCGAAACGAATAGACCTTTAATGGGTTAAGTCCAAACTCTACGGATACTTATCAGCTTTCATATGTTAAGACACATATTTGGTTGCTCTTGCCACAAGTCAGTTGTTTGTCTGATTAGAAAGTAGAAGAAAAAAACACTTCTACAAATACACGTGTATAACTGAGTTATTTCCTCAATCGGGTCGATACTAATGAAATATGTATATAAAATTAGTAGTATATCTAGATTTCAGGAACAGTACACCATAATATCCCGTGAATATATAATAACTAGCAGAGACCCACAAAACATTTGTGGTCAAATTAATATCTTTATTACAACAGAAACATCTGTGGTCAAATTAAAATTATTACAACAGAACTCTTTTAGTATTTCTAGAATAATACAAAAGAATTATAATCGCAGACACCGAAATCTGTAAGTCCACTTGTCTTAGGCCTAACATTAGGTAAGCCTTTTTTTAAAGAACGGCCTATATTTGATAAAGAGATAAACTTGCGCACGTTTTTTGCTTTAGTTTAGTTAGGACTAAGCGTTACCGTACTTAATACTATCAATAAATAAATATATAATGTTATTCTACGACCTAATGTTAAACCGTTTTTAAAACATTTAATAAGCTTTAAATACGTTGTTGTACAAAATGTCTAATAAAGTATATTTACCTCCGCCTTTTGTTTACATCCGTGGAAATGAAATGCGCGTGCATGCGCATTTAGATAGTAAGGTGCACGCGCATTTTCAGGACAGAAAAAAACTGAGTATTATTGTAATCGATTTTTTTGGGGGGGACCAAACTTTTTTGGGTTGTTGGAGGCGTGAAAAATTTACGATATTGTTAGCTATCTGACAATTAAATGTTGGTAATAATTCTTAATAACCTAAAGCTTTAAAAAATATCTCATAAATCTATATAAATATAATAGTACTGTCTATTGTCTGTTGTACGTCCATTTAACTACTTCACAGAATGTGGTTGGATCTTCACCCAAATTGGTACGGAGGTTCATTAGATTCATGCGGGGGTACGTAAAAATTTTCAGTTTTGCATTTTGCGGGTTTTATGGGCGTTTTTTTTTGCATTTTTTTACCACTACTTCGCCCCCTGTAGATGGACCTTTATCAAATTTGATATGGAGTTTTATTGGGTCCATGGGGAGACACATGCAAAGTTGCGGTTTCACATTTAATTTTTATGGGCGTTTTTTACAATTATATATAAGAGAAGCAGCTTTTCATGTCTTAAAATAACCTATCATTAATCATGATATTTACATAACTTCCGTCCAGGGGACGGGTACACCAGCTAGTTTGTCAATATCATTGCACAAATTTAAGCATTTGTCATTTGGAAGGAATGTATTTTGTATATATATATATAATTTGTTTAAACTGATACGGCTAACCTTCCATATCACGATTTTCATGCTAATTGCATCCTCACCATTTAGTATGAACTTATCATTCCATTTCAGTAATTCTCTTTCAAATATGCTTTCAAAAATTTAATAAAAGTTTAGAGCTGTATATTTGTTTTTAAAAACTTGGCACTAATTTTTTTAGCGAACACTGAACCTTTTATTGTTGTGAAAATCGGCTTTTCCACTACTTTCAAGCAACCAATTTCTTCTGCCTTTTAATTCTTACTTACCTCCTAGTCTGCTTTTAAATTAATTTTGAAAACAAAGAGCTGAGATTGGTTTGTAAAAGGAATCACGAAAGAATGTTTAAAAAAAGAAAAAAAACAGACATTTTAAATCAATTTCTTGTAGAATTATATAACTTTCATGGATTTATAAAAATGATCTAATGATCTAAGACAAAACAAAAGAAAGCTTTGAGGAGTTTCTCCATAGATTACTGATACTGATAAAAATTCTAGACGCGAAAATTCTCAGAAAAGCATTGCCTTGTCGCAAAATCTTCTGATTAAGTTCACAGTGTCGTCATAGAAACATTTCAGAAGACATAGAAGACTACTTGTAATAATGACTTACCATTAACAAGAAAATTTTTTAACTTTTATAAACTGTTAGATATATCTTGAGCAGTTTTTTTAAAATAATACTCAGTTATTTTGTGTTTTAAAAATGTTTTAAAAACTTAAGATATTCTACCCCATAAATATGTTTCTGCTTAATCGGATTTGCTTCTAATAATCTGCATTACCTTTAAAACACAAACAAGTTCTAATAATCTGCATTACCTTTAAAACACGAACAAGAGAACTTACGTGAGTGTCCATGGCTGCCATTATTCAATTCAAGAAATAACCCGTAATTAGCTGTTCGAACACAAAACTATAATATTTTACGTAATGGATTTCTGTATCTCCATCTTCGGTCGGGTGTCTCATAATTATAAAATGTTATATATATATAGTCTCATGTTGGATCAACATGTATTATAGTCTCACGTTGTATCAACATGTATTATAGTCTCATGTTGTATCAACATGTATTATAGCCTCACGTTGTATCAACATGTATTATAGTCTCACGTTGTATCAAATTATAGTTTCACATTGTATTAACATGTATTATAGTCTCACCTAGTATTGACATGTATTATAGTCTCACGTTGTATCAACATGTATTATAGTCTCACGTTGTATAACATGTATTATAGTTTCATATTGTATTAACATGTATTATAGTCTCACCTAGTATTGACATGTATTATAGTCTCACCTAGTATTGACATGTATTATAGTCTCACGTTGTATCAACATGTATTATAGTCTCACGTTGTATAACATGTATTATAGTTTCACATTGTATTAACATGTATTATGATCTCACATTGTATTAACATGTATTATAGTCTCACGTTGTACCAACATGTATTATAGTCTCACGTTGTATAACATGTATTATAGTTTCACATTGTATTAACATGTATTATGATCTCACATTGTATTAACATGTATTATAGTCTCAAGTTGTACCAACATGTATTATAGTCTCCCGTTGTATAACATGTATTATAGTTTCACATTGTATTAACATGTATTATGATCTCACATTGTATTAACATGTATTATAGTCTCAAGTTGTACCAACATGTATTATAGTCTCCCGTTGTATAACATGTATTATAGT